CGGTGTGCGTCGCTGTGCTAACGCTGTCCAACACGAAGCATAAAAACGGCAGATTTAGGACAACAATCCGGAGTTCTTTATTCATTTAAAACGGCGTATCTTGTTGAAAACGCCCGCAGCTTTTTACTCACGGTATGCGTAGGGATACTTTCACAGTTTGAAACGGAAAGAATGAGGATTTACTTTTAAAAACGCTCGCTGCGTCCTCCCGGACCAGCTGGACCGGATCAGCTGACGACGACGGGACTGAACCCGTTGACCCTCAACCCCAAAATAACCAATTTGCGTTCCGTGCTAGTGTGGGTTTCTACCTCCAAGCACCGCACCACACACCACGAACCTTTCAGCTCTTTTTCGTATCGCCGTGTTGCACCAAATAGAACGAGATCGCCGAAGTCAACGCAGCGCTGTCGTGAACCTTGGCTTGTGGTTGCGCACTCGTGGACTCTGTGACTCCCTTCGCTTTCAAACACACACGATGATCACGATTGATTTTTTCCGTCTTCTGGGAACATCACAGAGGAACTTCTCCGGTCACGTCTTCGCAACATGTGCTCGCAAGCCTACGAGCTTCTAGCGTCCCGACAAACCAAAACAATAACGGCGTCATGCTAAACGTGCGTTGTTTGCAAGATTTTCTCCGACCAAAGAAAAGCAACGAAAGCAAACCGGCTCTAGCTTCCAGCGTACATCGGCGTTGCGCCGTGGCCAGATTTTATCTGTCAGCTATAACTTAAAGATGACCTACAGATGCAGCAACTGGTATAAAGTTTTAATATGGCGGCCACCACGGAGCGCCGTAAATTTTGAGGAGGGTTCATAAGAAGCGGCGGCACCTCCGCTTGCAGTTGAAGGGTTGAAGCCAAAACAAAACCAACTGCAATATCACGTATTCAGATCGAGGGTACGCTTTTTATATCCATTTTAACTGTTTAGAACGAGTAATTACACCCATAACTTTATTTGTGGTGTGTAAGAAGCTATTATCAAGACCCCTGAAATAAATACAAACATGGGTGACAAGAGAAAACCCGCATTGCCATCGGCCAGAATCAATGGCAGGAATGGCAGCGATGGCAGCGAGCGTGGTAAGCGCGGGTACCAAGGAGGATAGAAGGGTAGGAGAGGGCATGAAGTCGGCCGCGTAGTGCACAAGCCATGCTCCCTTGACGCCTCGCCTCTTTCTCATTTTCCCCCTTACTCTCCTTACTTACCACGCCAACGTGACCACATCACGTGACCGTGGCTAGCCTTCGTCTAGCTATGGGGTACTAGAATACACCACAGGCTAGCCTTCGATCTGATAAAACCTACCGGACGGAGCGCGCGCAAGCCTGCAAGGAGTCCTTCTACAATCAGCCATCCATCTCACACGGGACATGTCACGCGCACCAATGGCCAGAGAGATCTACGGTCACGTTGGCCACAACATCGTTTAAACTTTTTATGGCTAGGCTTCACCAATATTGCAACGTGCCCTCTCCTAGTACATCTAACCTCCTTGGCGGGTACGGTGCCTGGAACGCGTCTCCGACTGGTGTGTTTACCGCGCTCAAAAAAGTGGTCCCTCGATTTCCACCTGATGACGTCATATAAGTGTCATGTTGTCGCCAGTCGCGACCCTGGCGGCGACCCAAGAGCTGTGGTACATATGGCAGACGCCTGTTCTGTTGCAGGTCGCTCCCCACTGTGACAGTCCACGGAAGTTACAGCAGCCGAAAGTTGGGACGCCTGAGACGCCGTGACGATAGCGACACTTGCGTTCGCTCGCGCCTTTCCCGAGCATTTCTACGGCCAACCGCCAAGATCGCGACAGTCAACAGCATGTCACTCCGGCTTCTCTGACGTCATTTGTTGCCACTTGGGGACCACCTTTAATGTATGGGCAGCATAGGACGCTTAACACGCCAGTCGAAGACGCGTTCCAGGCACTATAGCACGGGGCTCGCCCCGTCCCGCGACATGGCGTAATTGCTTTTGGTGCATATCTGTGTCCGAGACTTGTTACTTTCCGCGGCATTTGTCTCGGCGGTCCTTTCTAGGTGTGTTCCCAAGCATATCGGTGCTTCGATAGCCGGCAGTGCGGCGGTCGCCGCCGGGGGTGATGCGTGTTTTCGAGGTCGGCTACACGGCTGTGCTTGTATGACCGAACCAAAACAAGTTTTTTACAACCTCGCAATATTTTGAATAGGGATGGGGCGAACTTTTGCCGAATCGAAATTTCGGTGCCGAATCTTGAGATTCGGCGAAGCCTAACTTTTGCGGAACTTTTCTAAAGATTCGGAAAAGATTCGGCAAAAAATACATTGTTATCAGACACATTGATATTTCGTTTTTTACTGGCGAAAAAAAGATAATATCTTTCTTTTTTTCTTAACTTAAATGCAACATGTTTACTAAATAAGGTGATAATCTGCAAGATAATTGTATCGGTGTCGTTTTTGTGTGTTTACTGGAAATTTTAGTTACTCCTTGCAGAAGTGGCGTGAAAACGAGGTTGGGTAGAAGCGAGCGTGGCGCAGTCACGAATCACGCTAAGAGAGTTTCGGTTTTGAGGCATCATCAGCGCAAGCCTGCATGTGTGTGTACATTGCTAAAATGAAGGCAATAACGCTGCGTTCTTGCTTTCTCTGAGATTCGGCGGTTTGTGAGCGCGGGACAACGAATGTAACGGTTGCTGAGCCTTCATCAGAAGAGATAATAATATTATTGTAAATATGCATGTTTCTCGATTTGAGTCACTTGACGTCAGCTTTGCATGGAAGTGTGCGTCCCATATCAGCAACGTCTCGTTTTTAACCTTTGAAATGCCTGTTTTTTATGTTAGGACATAAACGAACGTTTCGGAAGATAGGTGGAGTGAATTTCTAATGTGCAACGTCGAGCATTATAGTTCAGTGTTTAGTTTCATGCAGATACATGAAAGTTGCGAAAAAACGCTGATTGAAAACGTAATATTATTTTGTTTTGGAACACACTACTTCTGAGGCGAAAACCGAATGGTTGTTATTGCAAATAGTGCTTTAAAGTAATTGTCGGCCAATGTCTCAATGTTTCAGAATGCTCCGCATCATTTGTCAGTTGCGCAGTGGACTGCGTAAATTACTGTTCGATCTTACATTCTAGAAGCAGGGAATACTGAAGACCACCACACTCACAAAGTTTGACAAACACACAGTTACCACGTCGCCTACTCGGTAACTCGCCGTGGCCACTGGTTGAACTACACTGCACGATGGCAACCGCACGACTGCACGGCGTCCATTTGCAATCCAAGGCTTCGTCGCGTTCTCACACGTGTGCAGACATTTGCCAAATTTTCGCCGAATCTTTGACGAACTTTCCTGCAAACGTTCGGCATTTGCCGAACTTTGCCGAATCTGAAGTTCGGCAGATTCGGTCGATCACTAATTTTGAACGATTTATCCAATACTCAACGTGCAAATTAACGCTAATTTGTGTAAATAGCGTGTTCACCCCAAATATTCGCTAAATACACGGGACTTGCTAACCGTGTAGCTTCGGTCGAACATTGGTGCGTTGATCGGTGCCACAAGCCCAGCTACATTATCACGGCCACACGGATCGGTGACGCAATCTAGGAGTAGAATTTGAAACTTGTTCCTGGTAACTGCTAACACATCTTTCCTGTTAAATCTGCGTTTATTTACACTATGTACAATTCAATTCGGGAAGAAGCTAGCCATTGCTTGTGGCGTTTTGGAATCAGAGTGTGACCGCTATCGCGGGTGCGCGCGTGCTCTTCTTGAGCCTCGTCTTCGTCTTGCTTGACCGCGATATTAATGAACCGGCGTTTTCATTGTAGTTTTTTTTTTTTCTTCTGAAATTACCTTTAGTATTTTGTGCTCAAATATCGAGACCAATAGGACACCGATCTTTTATAAATAAATATCTGCTTATCGTTCCGGGGTTACGACTCCCTACGCCTTGCCGTTCTCGTTCTGGGTTCTGCGGAGGAAAGGACTTGCAAAAACGACTCACAAGTTCACGGATTTTTTTTTTCAAATAAACTGTTGAGTAGTCACATCATCGGCGTTTTTCTTTCTTGGTATGGACATGTTTTTACTCAAGGCGGTCCTTGGTAACAATGTACGTATGCTTAGACAGCCGGAAGTTTGTCTGCCTGTGCAACTTTTCTCTCAGCTAGGCATGAGAAATTTAGCAAGTGCAGATCAAGCGCAAGCCTGTTGTAAACCTGGGGGTCTTTAACGTGCGCCGGGCAGTAGTGATGCACGACTGCGCGCCAATATTTCAGAGCAAAATTGGCAGAGTAGAATCCGCAGAACCAATAAGCAGAACCCAGGATCCCTGGCTTCTGCAGCGTGAGCTTCCTCTTCACGCGCCGAGCAGGAGTGATAAAAAAGGGACTGTGGTAGATGATTTAAGACAACCTTGAGACTGGAGAAAACAGGAAGGACAAACACGACGAAATCTCAATTTCATGAACGTAAAGCAGTTTGCCCGTGCCCTATCACTCATTAATGTGGGTGAGCCTCTTTTAGGAAACACAGTCGCAATACCCCCGAAGTCATCAAGAACTTTCAGGATCATTTTTCTAAATAATATCAATTTTAAGAACAATAAGGGCTCCGAAAAGAAGGCGAATCTGCATGCATGGTATTTTATTAGTCAGTACTGACTGGATATTTGTCAGGGTGCTCAAAACCTTATATTTTGAAAGGAGTGAAAACTGCACGATCTACACTTTCAGCGTGGACTATTCACCACGCGCGAACTACTTAAGGAAACTTTTGCTGACTTATTCCTGCGTACTAAACACCTAGTGAGGAAGATACAGTCAATCGACTGTTGGTGCATCCAAGGCTGCATGGTGCTCGCGACATCCTCATCGAAACTGGTATCATAGACAAATATTGACAGTCTCCGATCATTACTGTTTCGACAACCCCTAAAGAAATGTGTGCCATATCTACAATTCTGTATACCACCAAAACCGGCGGGTCAGACGCTTCCCTTACCGCCGTTGTCCATGAAGTCTTGTGGCTCGTAGGAGAAGCCGCTGGGTTCAAGAGGATTCCCGCAGTGGGCATGCTCTCCCGGCAGCTGCAGGTTGAAGATGGACCGGATTCCCTGGCTGAGAAAAAGGCGCCGTCGACGCAAGAATCGTCACTTGACGGCCGAAGCAGCGGAACAGACCGACTGCTTCGAAGCAAGTCTCGAAATGGATTTCCATGGTCTGCACTCACTCGGTAAACTGTTGGAGAATGTTGAATTGAAGAATAGCCTCCGTGCTTGGTCGTGCCATGGCCAGGATGTCATCCGTAACCCTGTGCAAAGCCGGGGTAGCATTGCCTTCATATCCTGAAATATTCACGATGTTCGCGTCATAAATGAATGACGTTCATCCGATCTCTTAGGGAAGTGCAGTCACCCATTTTATCTGACCATGCACGGTTTTGGAGGTTAAGACTCGATCACACACTAGCGCTTGAGTGAGGGAGAGTACATTTGCGGAAGAGATGCAGAACGTCGCCGCGAGCGCGGCCAAACATGTACACAGAGTTACGTTAAAAAGCATCTTATACAATCTTGTGCGCAACAAAGACGAGGACAAAAGCAGAGAAGAGGACACAACAAGGCGCAACTTTCAACTGAATTTTATTGAAAACGTGTTCCGGTATATATATATAGTCTCAATCATCGTTACAATGACAACAAAAAAAAGACAAAAGTAAAGGGGAAAAAAAAAACATGATGACAGAGCATAACTGGGAAACAACACTATCTCGTTCTCAGGAAAAACTGCGCCCAATAAGCTCATGGAACTGTGCAAACTATCAAAGCCTGGCGTGCGTGCCAAACACGGATGTGAAAAGAAGCACAGAACGAAATTTGTCGACTGTACAGATGGCGTGGTTTACCGCATTCCGTTGTCCTGTGGCAGCCACTACGTCGGGCAGACTGGGCGCTGCCTAAATGATCGGCTTCGCGAGCACAATAACAACGTGCAAAAAAAGAACGGTGGCTTTCTTGACTTGCATTGCAGGACATGCGGTTGTACCCCACTGTTGGATGAATGCGTAAAAATTGGGAAATGCAAGTCAGCGGTAACACGCGAAATCATAGAAGCCGAGCACATTGATTATTTAGGAGACATGTGTGTTGCTATGCCGTCGATCGCATTATCGGAGAAGGAATTGTTTTTCCTGAGAACGAGATAGTGTTGTTTCCCAGTTATGCTCTGTCATTATGTTTTTTGTTTTTTTTTCCTTTACTTTTGTCTTTTTTTTTGTTGTCATTGTAACGATGATTGAGACTATATATATATACCGGAACACGTTTTCAATAAAATTCAGTTGAAAGTTGCGCCTTGTTGTGTCCTCTTCTCTGCTTTTGTCCTCGTCTTTGTTGCGCACAACAGTGTATAAGATGTCAAACCAACTCGCCCAAACAACCACTCTTCGTTAAAAAGCAGCCGACATCAGTCAAGAACTAATAAGAACTCGCTTCGGTACTTATGGCTCACCAATTGCATGCAAGGTCCACGGCAAACATGGAAGCACCCGGCGACAGCGTGGGACGATGCCATCTATACTTACGTGATATCTGTTCAGCGTGTATCATTGAAACCTCGGAATAACCTGGTCCCAAGTGTTCTCACCGCTCTCTAACGAGCAAAATCAATCTCCATTCGCCGAACGGGTACAAGACCGGTTTTTGTTTCTCAATGCAGCTATTGTTGAAGTGAGTTTCGGAATGGCATGCGTCGCCCCGCCGCCAGCAAACGCACTTGCAGAAGGCAACTACACTCGAAGAAAAAGTGAGCACCCCCCCCCCCCCCCTATTCATCATGCGTTTTTACGGCTGTAACTACTTTACAGGCTTACTTAACTACCCACCGGGCTCGAGCCATTGAGCGTTACCACCCTGTTGGCAAGTGACAAGCAGGGGGTAGTCACGTTTTATAAACTCTTGAATTGAACATTCAAGTGCATGCAGTCGTTCAATAGTAAAAGTCACTTCAAAAATCTCAAAAAGTACTTGAAACTTGTTTTCTTTGTGCCGTTGGTTACCATTTATTCAAATTTGAACCGGTCGAAACCAGCGTGTGGCTCAGTTCGCATAAACTGCCAGAAAACAAACATGCCAAAAAGTACAGGCAACCTTGGTAGGCACCTACTAAAACCTGAGGCAGATAAAAAGTATCTCGGTTGTCCTTTTTGGTTCCGTCGCGGGTTTTACCGTGTACTGGTAAAACCCGCGACGGCAGTAAAACCCTCGAGCACGACGCTGCTGGCAGCTAGCGTCGTGCTCGAGGAATTTAACCTAATCTCTAAAAAAGCACAGGAAGCTACGCACAGGCGTGAGTTGACTGGAATGTTCGCCGGACGAGATACTTTTGTCGTTTTTTATTGTGCGGTTCAGTAAAGAGCGTGCTCTCATTAAAGGTGTGATCGGTCAGTTCTGCGTGCAGATCAGTTGCAAATGGCCTCCTCGGTTCCGCCGAACTTGCACGCCTGTCATACCCATTGTTTTTTTTTTTGTTTTTTTTTTTTGCTTTTAAGTGCAGTAAAGTATTAAGCATTGAACACCACGACAGAGGCCGGACAGGACGAACGTACACAGATATCTGGGATCATGACCGTGTATTCCAATGTTTCTCTGTCTTGGGATCTATGATTCGCCTTCACTGGCTCATTTGGCAGATTTCATCGAGCATACTCGATAAAAAATGCTTCAAACAAAAATGCTTCGAACAAGTGCTCCAAGGTGGAGTACTTTGAAGGGGACTAGGATTTCAGGCCTTTCGGCACGCGTTCCCCTTACCTATATACAAAATTCCAAGTAAATTTCCAAAAATAAGGCGTTGGCATACATATTTTCCAAATATATATATATATATGTATATATATATATATTTGGAAAAAGTACTGTTGGAGAAGTCAGCAGGTGCAGCGCAGAGAACTATGTTCTCGGCGTTCTTTGATGCTTGAGGCCGGTTCAGACACTTACGTTTGAATGCGTTTGACAGCGTTGCGTCGAGAACCGAAAGCGACTCACCGGCACATCTGTGCTTCGTATGAAGCGTGGAATCCAATTCAAGGAATCGTCTTGGCACGCGATATAAGCAGCAGGGATGTCCTGGTTTCTCGCTGTCGCAACGCAGTCAAACGCAACTGTCTGAACCAGGCTTCAGATAATTTAGCATACGTGTTTCGCGTTCGCTGTAGGTAAAGGCACGGGCCCGAAAGTGGCAATTCTGCACTGTCTTCTTGGCGCGAGCGCGAGCGCATAGAACGCATAATTGAAAGACACGCGCTTGAGCAGAAACAATTGTAGCGAAAAGAAGACAACTGAAACAACGCTTCGGAGAGGACCGGCGGACGGGCTTCGCTAGAATCACCTGCGCGCGCTCAGTGTACTCAACATTTACTCAACCGCCGCTGAAGTCATTCGGATATAAAAAAGAGAAAGTTGTGACTGCAGAAATCGGTATCAATAATTAATACAATTAATTAAACAGGATTCTGTATCTTTGGAGTGTAGGCAAGCGAGAGCACGAAACTGATCAAAACGTGACGTGTAGCGACTATTCATTTTGATTTATAACCTGTAGTTCACTTTTGCAATGGATTACATTAGAGATACGAGCGCTTTCCTAGGTGCAGTAGTGGAAACTAACATAAACAGATAAATCTTGCACAGTCTTTTTGTATTTATGCAAAATATGACAGTGGTCACCATCCTTATCGGTCACGGAAAATACAGCAGTATATAAAGCAATGGTGTCGACTAGTCGTTTATATAGGGATGTAGAGTGTCAATATCTTATGTTGTACCTTGTGCTGCTTGTGACCGCGTTATGTATAAAATTGTATGGTGTCTGTATGTCGCGTATGTGTGAAGTGTGGTGTGGAATATGTAGTACGCGCATGGTCAGGCGAGGCGCTCAGAGCAAAGACTGCTGGTTTCTTCTTTCTTAGTTTGAGCGCTGTCCGTTAGGTGGCGCGTGTCGCCGCCCAATTCAAGGAGTCGCGCGTTTATGTGTTTACTTATTTGAGTGAAAAACATGGAGGCGCTCCAGGGCTCCACGGAGCAGCCAAAAAGGATTGGTTCTCGGCCTCTTGTCCCGGGTATATCTCGAAACAACCCATTCTTATTTGAACCCTCCTCGTTTGAACCCATTCGCAAAACGCCCTTCTCGTTTTAACCTTCCGCGTTTCGACCCTTTCTTATTTATACCCGTCTCATTTGAACCCACTCTCATTTGAACCCTTCTCGTCTGGACCCATTCGCAAAACGCCCTTCGCGTTTTAACCTTTCGCGTTTCGACCCTTTCTCATTTGAACCCGTTGTCATTTGAACACCGTAGTGAGGTATAGAAAGAAGGAAAACAGTTGAGGGGATGACGGTTGAAAATGAAGCGAAGCGGCACCATCTCTTGCATAGCACATGAAACAATTTTCCTTATGCCTGCGTGCCACCCCGAGTCTGTTGACGTAGCTACGTGGTCACATGGTGACGTGGTTTCAAAAGTGCTAGCGCAGATTCGGTACTTCATTTCTCTTCTGTCGCTGTATGTCGTTAAGATGTCGTCGTGTGGAGCGAATGGATCATTGTGCTAGTCGTGTATTAGTGCTTGTAATGGCCAATTCGAGTGGTCATTTTCCCTGAAAAAAAGTTTTCCCATACCTTCGGCAAGAGCGTTCGCGTGGTCAAAGGCTGGCGGGTGCAAGCTTTTCGGGTTGCGCTTCTCAGGCGTGTACCGGCAATTTACCAGCAGAAGTTTTCCCGAGCTCCAAGAGGTCGGGCAGCTTGTCTGCCAGACTGTATCCGGTATCGCCACATCAGAATCGGGATAGGGAACCAAACGAAACAATGCTCGCTGAGGTGGCAAATAGCGGGTTCGAGTGGCAAACGAAGCCATCGAGACAGGCACCCTTTTGTGCTCTGAGACAAACTAGCAAAAACAACGAAGAGAAAGATAATTTATGTTTCAAAGAAAGTCAACATTTTTGGAAGAATTTATCCAGCCTGAGCAAGGTATGTTGGCTCTGGGACACGGACTGCATCATATATCACTTTATTTTACAACACTGTAATAACAAGTTATTACACCGCTGAAAAAAAAGTATGCATAGTGATGTAGTTTGAAACTTGAGCACGCATTACAATTTCAAGGAGGGTGGGTGCAATTAGAAGACTGAGGATTTCAAAAAAGGTACTAGAGAGTTTTAGTAGATCGTTCCTATACCTCCGATAACGATACTATGCATGCGCAAGGGAGGCGGTGGCGGAGTGTCGGGTATCGTTATCGGAGTCATGG